ATGGTCTGAGTCAGACGTGGCGGCTCCGGTCACCTCCGGTCTTATTAACTTTGCCTTGAGACCGGACTTAGGTGGTTAGGGGAAGAGGGAGTGCAGGAGATGCAACGCAAGCCTACTATCACTTAAATCTAATCAACCCGTAAGTCACCGGGCTTGCCTTCAGCCTGTTCAAGCACGCGGTGGATATCGTCGGAATCGACAGTCGGAGTGTCGTGGGGGTGTGTGCGCCCGCGCGCACGTTAGACACAGGCTTCATTCCATCACAGTCAGTGGGATCAATCGCAGTCCCACGACTCCCACACTGAAGATTGGGTTTCGTGGAGCCACGGCACAGTAAGTGTGTGACTGCAGCTTTCTTAACCACTGCACTGGCGCCCGTATTGGATTTGCCGTAACATAGGAATATAGTGGGCGCGGAAAGAATGAGAGAGGTAGATGCCTCGAAAGTCTCCTTCACCGTATAAAAAAACTTGTGTGCACGTCATCCATGGGACAGGGCGTGTCAGTGGTAGTTCTTGTCACTTGCGATGAACAGAACATAAGCACACGCAGTAGCCTCGAAGCCCAACGTAAATCCTAAAACGCGCCACTGCACCGAAAGCCCGAAGCACCCCTCATACGTGCTTGGTGCATGAAGCTCAGCAGTGTCGATATAAGCCATGCTACAGTGTACGCCAGTATCAGGAAGAAACAGTCCGAAAACATTAAGACCTCCAACACAGTCCTACAGTTACCGACCGCGATTATGACGCATACGAGGTGATGATGATAATGACCTAGGCACGGAATGACCCAGTGGGGCCTAGCCGAGTCGGCAGGAACACTACAAGCTGGGAAGCTTACCCGGTTCTCGTGGAGCATATTTATCTTCACATCTACCGCTGCCTTGATTTCACAGTACTTCTCCCGACTGTCTGAAAACTTTTTGCGGAGTTGTCGCTGCTGTTGTTCCTGTCGCTTTCGTTGCAGCTCCAGTTTATTTTGTTGTTGTTGTTGCTGCTGCTGCTGCTGCTGTTGTTCCTGTTGCTCTTCTTGCCGCGGCGGCGGCGGCGGTGGCGGTTGGTCGGACGTCGTCTCCGTACTGGCCGGTGGGGATGTGGGAGCGTCCTCAGA